CTAGCTCTAATGACTAAGGTACTAAGCTAACTATCATCTTCATCGAGCAAGATGTTGGGTTCAACTAACAAACCCTTAGCTTGGCAAATTAAGGATATATCTTTATTTCTACTAATGATTTAATGTATATTAAAACAAATAGCATTTAACTATCCTAATGTTGAGTCTATTCTAAAGCAACTATAAAATTTTCAGGACTAAAGCTATCACCAATTTACCAAAAAATTCCTACAATGATTAACTTAATAATATTGAGCATTCTCAAAAGCGCTTTGCAGAACCACCCCCACACTATCCTCTATTAACCCGATGACTATGCGCACTATTTATACAGACAGTGTTTATGCAAGAAAGCCCTTGTATTAACCCGTCTTCGCATCGAAGAGGTCCTCGACGCCTCCGCGCTCGCCGGTGCGGCATTGACCGGCACTGGGGTGCTACGCCGGCCAACTGGGGACTCCCTCGACCTATCTAGAGGACCGATGCTCACCTACGGGCCAACGCGCAACAATGGGCAGTGATTCGGAGACCGGAGAAGAAGTAGGGCGACTTCTCCATGTCGGCGGCAACCTGCGGTGGCGACGACAATGTTCCAGTGAGCAACGGTGCTAAGGGAGCAGTAGAGGTAGCGGGTGAGCATTAGCGACTCACCAAGGACTCGGTCGAGGCGATGGTTCAACCGAAGACGCCCCGAGCAGGGCGGGCCGCGTACGTGCGGCGATCTCAACGATGAGCCACGACGGACACGACCACGCCAGCAGCGTTGGAACAGCAGTAGGGGTATGACTCAGGTGCGCATGGCGAGGAGGGGTTCGAGACGAGTCTAGCGATGCAGCTAATTTGGCTGGAGGTGGTCAGATGAAAGCTGCCCTCGGTGATGGGCGGACTCGGCCTTATCGGCGATGTGGCGGGGAAAAGCTCTAAAATTGAAGCTCGACCGGGTGCAATTCAAGGTGGGGTGGGGGAGGGTAGCTAGGCAGCTGGGTGACGGAGCTAGCGACACGACGAATCGGGCGATGGTGACTTCTCCCTGCTTGTTTTAATGGTGCGGCTCAACCCACCATGGCAGCAGCGAAGAGAGAGGGGAGGGGGTAGGTCAGAGCTCAGCTCGTCCTCACCTTTGCGGGATGCGAGCGGCGCGATCAGGACACACACGCGCAGACAAGGCATGCGCGCGTCCACGACCGACATGGCACGAGCGACTGCCGCGCCTTTATGCGTGAGACGACAGTAGGTAAGGCCATGTGCTGATGCCACGGATATGCCAAGCGCTCACAGCAGCAGCAGGGCCACCGACAGGGCAGACAGCGGTGCAGAGCCGCAGGCGGGGTGCGGATGCGATAGCGAGGCGACGGCAGCGCAGCACGGCCATGGCGGCACCAATGGCGGCAGCGCAAGGCAGGGCAGCAGGGCACTGGGCCAGCAGCTCGCTGCGGCCAGCCTCGGCCAAGCCTAGGCGGGCTTGACCGACCCAGCGTGGCGGCACGGGGGGACCACGCGGGACGCGGCCATGTGCGCAGCGCGGGTGTCCGCGCGGTGATCGCGCGTATGGCGCCAACCATCCCGACACTGTGACGTGCATGAATTTTAAAGCGTCGATAGCAATTAAACGGTTGAGGTTGACACTAAAGCGCCTTCACTATGCTAAGGAGGGCCTATTAGGCTACCAATCCGAGCTAAAACACGACACCACCTCTTAACCCAATTTCTCAAAATAATTTGTTAAACATAGCAATGTCTAGCTGTTGATAAATTTAGAAATTTTTCTAAGTTTTTGAGCTGAACTTGATTTTAATTTGCTATTTCTAGGCTAGTAGAAATATTAGTTAGTAATATCATTTTTCAACAGCAAGTATTTCACTATCATCTATAAAGTTTAAAATCCAAACTTTATTTAAGCGCCACATATATGTTCTATAGCATTTTTGTTTAATAAAAATTAGTTTTAAACCCTACTTGATATACATGAACTATCGAATCAACTTTCGTTTAACATTTTTATTGATCATTTTAAGTTACAAGAAATTTATCTACACATTCTATCACATGCATTAACACATAAACATGATGCTCATGACACGTTTTAGTAAATGATTTAGGGTGTAACACCGAGAGTGTTACAGTGTTCTTCGGTTCAAGTGCTCCAAAAGGCTTACAATGGGGGGTATGCAAGCTAGGGTTCTATAGATAGAAGGTTCGAGGTAGGGGAATTCCATTGTTCTGAAGAAAGGTCTGGCTCCCCTTATATAGTCTCGGGGACCATGAAACAAGTAAGGAGTGAAGAGTTCTCCTAACCTGAGTGGTCGAGAGCCCGAGGAGAGAGGAGAAGTTGGTGAGCACCGTCAGCAGTCCCTTCTTGTCTTGTCCTGGCTTCTGTTGATACATCCGAGTATGGTTGCTGGGTTCTTGCTCCTCATGCCAAGGCATGGTGCATCACGGCGTCACTGTGCCAGTCTTGGCGGCACTGTGAGAATGGTGGTTTTTCACCTGCCACCCTGTGTAGCGTGAGCGGCGTCATGGTCCCTATCCTGGTGCCCGTTATTCCGGGGAGGCGTTGTGGTGTCATCATACGGGGTGAGTGGCTATCCCTTGCGGGCTACCTGCTCCCTTGGTCGTGGTCGCGTTGCTCCGACCTCTCGTGGTCGGGTCGGGGGCATCAGATCTGGCTGGTTTGGTGAGAGATGTCTCCCAGTCATGAGTCCCATACCTATAGTGGGTATGATCGTACGCCTGTCTATCCAGTAAGGCAGGATTTGGACGGTGTTGAGCCACGCGTGGTGATGTAGCCGAGGCCTGGTGTTGTTTTGTCTATCATATGGGCATGGCCCGACGGGTGACGCTTTGCCCCAGGACCTGGCGGTCTGAGGGGTGGTCGTCCTTCTTTGTACCTGGAGGAGTGTAAGTGGGCATGCGCGTCCCGTCCGGGCAGGTGCATTTAATGACTTATCCACCTCCCGTCCTTCCCGAGTCGGTCAGAGCTAGAGGTGGTTGAGGAGGCTGCACGGTGCATGGTCGGGAGATGAGAGCGGTCGAGGCAGGCCTCGTACATCGTAGGGGAAGACTGGTCGAGGCGGGCCGCGGTTTGCTGGACCGCGACCAGCTGGGCCACCCCCAAGGGACTTTCTAAGTGCATCTTGGGGTACCCCGGTTATGTACCCCCAACAGGTCATATATTAATTTCCATAAAGTAACCAGTTACATAGCATCAAGAAAATATTTCTTTTCCTAAATACATACAACTTTCAAGGGATTTTAGGGACCAAGACCCAAATTTTATGTAGTTATAAATACCAATAGTGATGTTGAATCTATTAAAAAGCAAAGTCGACCTACATTTGTAAGTACTAGTTAGTTATAAGAACAAATAAAAGAAAAAATAGTCATAGTACACTATTACTTAAGAACTTTACATTACAAAAAAAAGTTCAACAAGACACATGATGATGATACATATTTTGTTGTGTTTAATAACTATGTGTTCATTTTCATATAGTTATTGTTTTAATTGCCATGTTAATTTCAAAGGCGTTCAATAAAAATAGCTTGAATGATAAAAGGATGCAAAAGAATCCACCTATGTATATCTTTTTTGATAAATATTCAAATTAATTGCATAGTAATCCAATGCACCAATGCATACTTTGTGTTAAGTGATAAATCTATTTTAACATATGAATCCATGGTCATAGCATTATTAATGAAACTATCTCCTGTGATAGATATTACAACTTTCAAGAAGGTTATGGAATAGGCAATGTTGAAATGCATATATAGTTATAAATGCTAACATTAATGTCGAATCTACTAAAAGTCTTCCTATAGTAATAAATGTGAGCATTACTACTTTTAAGCAGGAACAAACAAAACAAATCTTTCTAGTAGTCATCGTATTAGTAAAAGGATATCCAAAAATATATTTCTCTAATACAAAACATTATAATACATCAAGAGTATCCATATATTAGAAAGATATATATCTCTAGTAACAAATGCCCAAATTTTGTTAGAAGCTATGGAATAAAAATAAGTTCCAACTATATCCATAACCATCATTATTAATAGAAAATATCTGCAACCATTATTGTTAAGAAAAAACTCAAAGATACTAAAATAATTGAAATTATTAAGTGGAACACATATTGATGCTCTAAAAACTCTACATTACAAAAAAAGTCCAACAAGACACATGATGATAATACATATTTTGTTGTGTTTAATAACTATGCGTTCATTTTCATATAGTTATGTTTTAATTGCCATGTTAATTTCAAAGGCGTTCAGTAAAAATAGCTTGAATGATAAAAGGATGCAAAAGAATCCACCTATGTATATCTTTTCTGATAAATATTCAAATTAATCGCATAGCAATCCAATGCACCAATGCATACTTTGTGTTAAGTGATAAATCTATTTAAGCATCAATTATAGTTCTAGAACCAATGCCATATGAATCCATGGTCATAACATTATTAATGAAACTATTTCCTGTGATAAATATTATTACAACTTCCAAGGATATGAAGTAGGTAACGCTGAAATGCATATATAGTTATAAATGCTATCAGTAATGTCAAATCTAATAAAAGTCTTCCTGTAGTAATAAATATGAGCATACTTTTAAGCAAAAACAAAAAGAAAATAAATCTTTCTAGTAGCCATTGTATTAGTAAAAGGATATCCAAAAATATTTTCTCCAGTACGAAACACTATAATACATCAAAAGTATCCATATATTAGAAAAATATATATCTCTTGCAATAAATGGCCAGATTATGTTAGAAGCTATGGAATAAAAATAAGTTCCAACTATATCCATAACCATCATTCTTAATAGAAAATATCTGCAACCATTATTGTTAAGAACAAACTCATAGATACTAAAATAATTGAAATCATTAAGTGGAACACATATTGATGCTTTAAATTTTCTATAAATAGGTCAGTAGCAAAGATCTATGGACACATTTCTCACATCTATAGTTTCGAGCTTTTGACCAGCCATGGATCTTAATCTAAGACTCCCATTGGCAATGCTTGTTCTTGTAGGCCTTCTAGTATACACCACGCCAACCCATGCGAATTCTGAAATTTCTATCCGACGGACATATATTGTGCGTGTGCGCCCTCCACCAAACTTTTCCCCTGATATGAGCTCTTCAAACCTTGAGACATGGTATAGATCATTCCTCCCACCATCATCGATGAGTGCATCTAGGCCTCATACACCATTCATCTATACCTATAGAGAAGCCATTCTCGGCTTTGCTGTGAACCTCACGAAAGTTGAGGTAGAGTACATTACAAAAAGAGATGGGGTCCTTAATGTATACGAGGATTACCTTATACCACTCTTGACAACCCATACACCTGACTTCCTAGGGTCTAAGGTCCAATGGAGGAGCTTGGAATAGCATAGGAATGGGTGAGGGAAGCATCATAGGTTTACTAGATACAGGGATAGACATGTCACACCCCTCGTTTCATGATGATGGAATGAAGCCACCGCCAGCAAAGTGGCGCGGGTCTTGTGACTTTGGAGATGCCAAATGCAACAAAAAGTTGATTGGCGGCCGATCATTTTCTAGAGGTCATGTGCCTCCCGTGGATAATGTTGGCCATGGTACACACACTGCAAGCACAGCTGCCGGACAATTCGTAGAAGGTGCAAGTGTGCTTGGCAATGGAAATGGTACCGCGGCTGGCATGGCCCCACATGCACACCTTGCTATGTATCGAGTGTGCAGCGAATTCGGATGTTGGAACTCAGATATAGTGGCTGGACTAGATGCAGCAATTTCTGATGGTGTTGACATATTGTCTATATCACTTGGTGGTCGGTCACGACCATTCCATCGAGAACTAATGGCAACTGGCACATTTTCTGCCATGCGGAAAGGGATATTTGTCAGTTGTTCTGCTGGAAATTCAGGTCCATCATCTGGCACTCTAAGCAACGAGGAGCCTTGGGTCCTAACGGTTGGTGCGAGTACAATGGACCGACAGATGAAAGCTATTGTCAAGCTAGGTGATGGCCGCTCATTCGTTGGTGAGTCAGCCTACCAACCCTCTAACCTTGTTTCTTTGCCACTAGCGTATACGCTAGATTCTGGGAATGTTAAAGGGAAGGTTGTTGCTTGTGATCTTGATGGTTCTGGTAGCTCTGGCATCCGAATTGGAAAAACTGTCCAGGAAGCCGGCGGTGCTGGGATGATAGTATTTGGAAAACAAGTGAGTGGGCATAATACTTTTGCTGAACCACATGTCCTCCCAGCATCTTATGTGAATCCCATAGATGCTGCTGTCATTAGAGAGTATGCTAAGAACTCTAGCAGCAAGCCAACAGCCTCAATTGTCTACGAGGGAACATCATTGGGAACGACTCCAGCTCCTGTAGTTGCTTTCTTCTCTTCTCGTGGTCCAAGCACAGCAAGCCCTGGTGTTCTTAAGCCTGACATCATTGGACCAGGAGTGAATGTCATTGCAGCTTGGCCATTCAAAGTTGGACCACCAACAACAAGTGCAAACTCTATGAAGTTCAATTCCATTTCTGGAACATCAATGTCTGCACCTCACCTCAGTGGAATCGCAGCTATTATCAAGAGTGTTCATCCAGATTGGTCACCTGCAGCAATCAAATCAGCAATCATGACAACAGCCTACACAGTAGATGGTAACAAGAAGCCTGATCCTAGATGAAAAATTCAGTCCAGCTGGTCATTTCAGCATAGGCGCTGGGCATGTTAACCCTTCTCGCGCTATCAATCCAGGTCTTATCTATGACACCGACGAGGAGCAATATGTTCTGTACCTATGCGGGCTTGGCTACACAGATTCTGAAGTTGAGACAGTCACACATCAGAAGGATGCCTGCAGGAAAGGAAGAAAAATCACCGAAGCTGAGCTGAACTATCCTTCGATTGCGGTGAATGCGAAACTTGGCAAACTTGTGGTGAATAGGACGGTCACCAATGTCGGCGAGGCAAGTTCGACCTACACTGTGGACATTGCTATGCCGAAGGGAGTAACAGCATCGATTTCACCAAATAAGCTAGAATTTACCAAGGCGAAAGAGGTGAAAACATTTGTTGTGAGTTTAAGTTGGGATGCCAATGAAATTAAGCATGCAGAGGGAAGCTTCACATGGCTGTTTGGGAAGCAAGCTGTGAGGAGCCCCATTGTAATATTCTAATGTAACTTAGTGAGTTTAGGACTTGCATGCAAGCTTGCTATTAATATTAAATAATAAGTAAGCTTTTATTATATCACTGCCATCTTTTGTTTCTGGACGACGGAAGGCTAGCTTCTGCGGCGACGGTGGTGTGGGCATGGCCGGCATGGGCGCTGGGCAAGGCGAGCCAGCATGGCTGGTGCGGCCTGCACAAAGTGCGGTGCTCAGCGAGGCCACGGGAGGGGGTGTGCAGGCGCAAGCGGAGGGGTGGTTGTCGTGTGGTAGACTGGCCGGTAGTGCGACAAGGGCGGCTAGCGAGCGGCCGTCGACGTCATAGGCGTGAGCACAGGAAGAGTCCACTTCATTTGATTCGAGAGTGCATTTTAACTATATCTGTGATTTGTGATTATATATCACCCTCTCTCTCCTTGTTTCTGGACGACACAAGAGGAAGAATACAGAGGCTAAGCTGTGGGGAATTGCGGCGACGGTGGTGTGAGTAAACTTCTCAATCATGTTCGTAGCTTTTCAACTCTTTCATTAAGTATAATAATGTTTCTCGCAGAGGAAAAAAGAATCATGCATTGTTAAGAAGCAAAGAAAGAAAAATAAATAAATGATGCATGCACACAGCACACGCCACTGTTTGTGTCGACATCATAAATATATCCGTGGACGCGAAAAGGGAAAGCGCGTAAAACTCGCGCCCACGCACCGGCAATCCGGCACTGTCGACTCGCTGTCCCCGCCGGCGTGGGCCCCTTTCCTGCGGCACGGGCACGGCTGGTGGAATGGAGAAGGCTTGCGTGTCTCGCAGGTCAGCCATGCATGCAGAGGTCAAAATAGTTGACCCAAATGCCCTCCCCTACTTGCCGGTCTCGCTCGCTTGATCCAAGAACAAGAACATGCATCTCGATCGGCCTCATCTTTCCCAATTCCCTTTTCTGTTTTAATATAATAACTGGAGGACGGATATCGTCGCATATACTTCTCCGGTTACAAAAAGTAAATGAGCCCTTGTTTAGTTCGCGAAATTTGGATTTTGAAATTCATCAGAAAGACCTTTGTTTTTACTTCTCTCATCTCGCAATTTCCCACCAAACTGTGCAATTAGTTTTTCTTTTCGTCTACATTTAATGCTCCATGCACGGGCCGCAAACATTCGATGTGACAGGTACTGTAGCAACTTTTTGGAAGTTGGGGTGAAACTAAACAAGGCGTGAATCTATCAAATTTTACAACTTTAGGGTCACAAGTCGCAACACTTATACAAATACATGGTCTTAAAAATGGTTACATATAAAACTTGTTTTTTATACTGAATGTAATTAGCATGCCAGTCTTTTATCAAACTATATTTACAATACAGATCTTAGAGTTATACAATGAAGTTATAGCACAAACTGCCATGTTCGCTTGAGCTTATCAGCCAAAATCAGCACTACTTTTCAGTCATGGAATAATGTTTTTCTCTCGCAACAAATTAGCAGCAGCCGGAAATCAGCCAGCTGAAAGGTGAATTTACAATCATTTAGTACTGTATATTTAATTGAAGGAAGTATAAATTTACAATCATGGACTAGTTAGGTGAATAGAGAGTTCACGGACAAGGATAAATAAAAGTTACTCAAGGATGCAGTATAAGATTACATGCATGGTACAAAGACACGGTTGAACTCAGTATATACTTATACCAGATATCTGTATCTATATTTACATCCTGTAGACTGTTTCGAGCCCAAAAAAAAAGAATTGATGGAATAGGAAAACTACTAGACTATCAGTGTGTCATCTGCCGCGTCCTCATGTCAGGCACGCAGGACAGTACAGAGCCTAAAATAATAAAGAAAAAGAAAAGAAAAGAAAAGGAAAAGGAAAAGGAAAAGAGAAAAACAGTTTGCCTCGCTGGAAAACATATATGCTCAAGAGAAGAGTCGAGATGAACTGAAACATCAGTTGGTGCGTTTGCTGGGGGCGGAGGGCGGCGCTTTCCCTCGGGGCTTCTTGTTGAGCAGCCACTGGTGGCGGCCGCCGGCGAGCCCATGCCGCCGCCGATACTCATCGTCCTCTCTGGGCCCGGACGACGGTGCCGCGACGACCATCGTCGTCGTCTCGGCGTCGGCGGGTAGTAGAGGTAGCAGTATCACGTCGGTGGCGGCGGCGGCCTTGACGACGCCGTTGTTGTGTCGGTGGTCGTCGGCAGGCAGAGGCCTGCAGCTGGAAGGCTGCGCGAAGACGGCGAGGAAGATGAGGAGGAGGAGGACGAGCGTGGGCGCGGCGAGGACGACGCTGCTGCCGCGGGGCGGCCGGAGCCGGAGTCGCTGCTGCTTGGTTGTTGTGAAGGCCATTGTTGCGGATGCGAAGGACGGCAGCGGTGGAGTCGTCGTCAGGAGGAGGAGTAGCTAGCTGGTGCGCGCGTGGATTTGGATGATGGAGAGAGACGGGCGAGGGTGGTCGTCGTTCGGTGGAAAGTGGAATGTGTGATGGAGAAGGTAAGGTAGGAGAGGAGATTTTATAGAGGCGGTGACTGACTGGCGGTGCAGTGGCTTGGAGACCAAGGAGCCGAAATGAAGGGAAACCGCGTGTCAGTGACTGAACGCCACCGTGTGAAGCAAATGCAGTGGAAGCTGGCGCAAAGCTGGTGGGAAGAGAGAGAGAGCGCGCGCGCGCACGCGCGTGGACTTTCTTCTCCCTAGGCGTTTAGATTGAAAAAAATTTCAACCCGATGAATAGTAGCACTTTCGTCTTATTTGGTAAATATTGTCCAATCGCGACCAACCACTAAGAAGCTTCTGATTTGGCGCCGCCAAATCTACTGTAGCAATTTTGTAGCATTTCGTTTGTATTTGGTAATAATTGTCCAAACGTTGACTAATTAGGCTCAAAACGTTTAGTCTCATAAAAGTACAATCAAAATGTAATTAGTTTTTGATTTCGTCAACAATCTCCATTTAATCACAAGTTTGATGTGACGGGGAATCTTCTTTTTGCATAGTGCCAAATTGTGGAAATTGGGGGAACTAAACATGGGCTAAGCTCAAAAGATTCATCTCGTGATTTCCAACTAAACTGTGCAATTAGTTATATTTTTTACCTACATTTAATGCTCTATATAAACGGCTAAAAATTGATGTGATGGAAAGAGAGTGAAAAAACTTAGAATTTTAAGGGTATCTAAACAAGGCCCTGGTTGTAAATTTCCCCGAGAGAGACAAAAGGAAGGAAGCAAGGAAGACGTGTGCACGACGAGCAATGCAGTCGTCGCTGACTCGCTGAAGCGTCGTCACCGCGCGAACGCTACGCCCCTAGTAGCTCCCTACCGACCTACCGTGTCCGTTTGTGCTCAGCTCAGATCAGTCAACGCAACAATGACCCAGCACCGTACCTGCCAAGTAACGAACGACGCGTTCTGCCCTGCCTACCTCGAGCTGTTTCGGCGTAATAACAATGGCATGCATGGTGCATCAAAAATATAGAGATGGTTGGCTGGTTTCTTCTTCAAATGTTTTATTTACCATCATCAGGATTCTTCTCTTTATTTATTTTTTTACTTGTGCAAACTGTGGGACTTAAAATAGACTCTCTCCAAAAGAGGACGACCGTGTGGATCACAAGGCACGAAAGTCACAGGGTATCCGGGCCGTGTGGTGACGACGGAACAGAGGAGTTGTTGAGAGGAAAAATGAAATTAATTTCCGTAGCGATATTCAATCATCAAACAATATATAAAAACTTGTGGGTGTGGTGGGCCTCCTTGGAATAGGCTGAATTCAGTTCGGGGCGCACAGTGAGCTGGGCCGAAGAAACCCATGACATTGCAAAACAGCCACTGCCAGTCTGCCGCCAGAGACACAATGACCATTTCTGCTGCCGGCCACCAGGCGCGCTCCGGCCGCATCGACCCCAACAGTCAGTCCAACACCTTGGGAGTTCGGAGGGAGACCGCACAATGCCAAGCCACCAAAACTACAGCACAAGCAGGAAGCAGCGGCGGCCGGCGGCACCCGGCGGGAGGCCGGCCACCGTGCTCTCCTCCCGGCCCCATGGCCCCACCATCCTCGTGCATGGCATCGCTGATGCTCAAGAATGGAAGCTAAGGCCACGCCCAACGCCACGACGTGGCTAGCAGCCTCAGATTCCAAATCTGAACCGTGAGTCCAAATCAACGTGGCCTTATATGGTGCCCTAAGGCTGACCTAACGCGGGCTAACAAGTCTGTTAGCTTGAACAAAAAAGAACAAGAAAAAGGAATACACATAGGCATGGAAGGAAGGTCCTGGACTCCCAAGCCCTCGATGCAAACTACCACTGGTCTAATCCACCTGCTGCAATACTATACTAGGCCGGGTCTGGTGCACTGGCATATCTCTTCTTCCTTCATAGTTTTTTGACGTTTTACAGAGCAAGCCACCGTCCCGCAACATCACAACACTCCCGCCCACTTCCTCCTACTTTTGTCAGACGAAACCGTTGTATCTCCTGCAAGACAGTCTGACGCGCTACAGAGCTACCATTCACTGTGACATAGAGGACCAAAAGCAGGCGTGGCCTTTGGGGGCTTGGGGGGCAGCACTCCATGTTGTAGCGTTGGAGAAGCCCTAATGCTCAACTGACACACGGCATAAGCTAATGCTCAAAAAACAAAATGGTGGCATGAGAAATGACAAAGAGGAGAAAAGCCAACACATGCTGTGACATGCATGCACTTTTTCTTTATACGAGCAATGGATAGGTGGTACTCTTAGAATTTTATTTGTAGGCCACTGTCAGTGGGGCTTTCATGCGAATTTAGGCATTAAATAAGCTGATATGGCGTAGTATAGATGAAGAGAGATCATGTTAGTTCAATGGGGTGAAATGAGTTTCATAGGGATAAAACTTGTCTACATACTCCATCCGTCCCAAAAAGAAGGATGTTACGGGATACGTGCGGGTCAAACTTTGTCAACTTTAACTAGGTTTTCTAGAAAATATGTGCAACATTTATATCTCCAAATAAGTTTATTATGAAAATATATTCAACGATCTATCTAATCTAATGATACTAATTATGTACTATAAATATTAATATTTTTTATACATAATTGGTCAAAGTTAAAAGAAGTTGACTTTTCGAGAAGCGAGAATGACTTCTATTTTAGACAGATGGAGTACTTTTCAACTCATGGGAGCCTTAAAAACAGTAACATAAAACTGCCATAAACCCCCAACGAGACTGGCCTCACAGACGTGAAGCTAGCTTTTAGTATAGGTTTGCGTGTGTGTTCTTAGGAGTTGAGGTAGTACATCACCGTGGAACATTAGGAAAGTCTTAATGTTACATACCATGGTTCATTTATTAGATTCCTAATAATTTGTTTTTGAAGTACTGCCTGTCACTCTTGTATACCTTTTGCTAATTTTCTAGATCAATTTATATACACTATGTTTAGATACGTACTAAAAGTAGTGATGTATCCAGATAAGTCAAGACCAAATTTACAAATTAACGTTGCGGTCCTTGTTGATATATATATAAAAAAGCTTTCAACACTCTTATATACTGGCATCGACGGAACGACCTTTCTAACATTTTCTTCTTTTTGTTTTTCGAAATGGATGTTTCTTCTTTTTATTTAGTTCATTCATCCACCAAACTTCAGATTATGTCCAGATTAATGATCTTATCAACGTCACATATAACTCTTGTACATTTGGGGGTACTAATATCAACATATAAGTTTTGCATATTTGGGCTGCCGATATCAAAGATATAGAGCGTAAAGAAAAGCAAAATGCACTAGAAAGAAGCTATCTTGCGGCGACGACAGAGAAGCACCCTGCACGGCACCACCGTGTCGCCGACCTTGACACCGGGCGTCACGGTAAATGCGACGCTGAGCTTCTCCTCCTCACCCGCCACCACGCGGCGAGCTTCTTCCGCGCCAAGCTCAGGCACGCTCTCCATGAACTCCGCCGCGTACAGGCTCCCCCTGCCCGCGTAGAACATCCTGACACCACCACCCCCATCCCCACTCCCCAGCTCCGACTCCGAGCAGCGCGCCTCCGCCGTCATCAGCACCCGAAGCGCCCACACGGACCTCGCGGCGGCCGCGAACGCGCGGTAAAGCGGCGTCCTCGGGTGGCCGCCGCGGGACACGAAGGCCCTGTGGTCCAGGTTCCCGCACGCGGCCGCCTCCGCCTCCGGCGGCACGGCGGCAATGTAAGCCGCCCGGCAGAACGCCGAGAGCCCCGAGCGCGGGAACTGCATCAGCGCGTCGAGAGCGTCGCGGGGCTTCATGATCCGCTGGAAGCTGCTACCAGCGTCGCCGCCGCAGCACTCCTCGGCGACGACGAGCAGCATCGCTCGCCACAGGTGCGCCTCGAGCGAGTACCTCCTCCACGACCGCGCCTGATCTGACGCCGCTGCAGAATCTGCGTCGTCGCTGACAACACAGGGCTCGGGCGACGAAGCCGCCGCCGCCGCCGTCGTCAGGCTGCAGGTACCATTACCAAGCAGCAGCTCCGCGAAATCGCAGACCGACCTCGACGCCGCCACGAACTGTCTCACGAGCGCCGCGGGCGTCGCGAGCTCCTTCGGCACGGAGATCCCCGCCCCGCGACGACGGTCGTCGTTCCTACTCCTGACGACGAGCTGCCTGCTCAGCCTGGCGTTGTCCCGCTGCAGCAGCCGGAGCTCCCTGGCGAGCGCGGCGATGTGGGCGTCCCTCCGCCTCGCCTCGGCCTCCAGGCGCTGCACCTGGGCCCAGCGGTCATCGACGAGCGGGCCGATGCCGCGGCGGGAGGTGCAGAGGCACTGCAGCGCGGCGACCGAGTCGAGCTCGGACGCCACGGCCTCGTCGGCGAGGGCGACCTTGTCGGGGTCGTAGGGGAAGTGCGCTCGCTGCAGCTTGACGTAGCCGGACTTGAGCGCCGACACCGCGTCGAACAGCCTCGCGAGAACGAGCCTCGGGTCCGGGCGGGGTCGGGGTCGGGGTCGTGTCCGGGTTTTGTCGTGGCTGCTGCCTCGGCGTTGCCGTCGTCAGCCGCCGGCGTTGGGGCTGCGCAGACCTTGGTGAGGTTGAAGAGCTTTGTGAGGCCGACGAGCAGCCCCGGGACGGTGCAGGTTGGAGTTGGTGGAGCCCTCGCGCTTCTTGCTGGCGCTGGTGACGACTCCATTGTTTGTCTTGGCGATGGCCGATGCCCGATGGCGACTGCTTGCAGCATCCAGAAAAGGGTATGATCAGATTCAGATCTTCTTCTTCTCTGAAGGAATGTGATGGGAATCAAAATTCTTGTTTGAAGGAACTGAATCCACGGGGGAAAAGGAAATCAAAACTGTACTTGTGCAATGTGCATTCAGGAACAA